GTCTTGAACACGGTTTATTTAGGCAAAAAAAATTTTGATTTTCTTGATAATATTTTGAAGATATTATACCAAACTAAGTAAAACATGTCTTGTCAGCTGAGCATTTGATGTATATTTTTCTCAGTTTAAACAATAAAGGCATATTTTGCATATCTTCAACAACAACATTACTATAATTTATTAGATTTTTTTTTCCAGGAAACTAAAAGATGCTTTACATAGTAAATGTAAAGAAGACAAAAACAATGAGAGAATAGCAGTGGGGCAAGAGGAGGTCAGTGATGCTGGTGTGTATGTGGGTTATAAAACCGAGTTTGGATGTGCACAATGTGACATGTTGTTGGTGACAATAACAACAGATGCAAAAATAGATTTTGTCTTTGCAAGCAAAAATACTGGAATCTCAGTTGAATTATGTTGCAGTGGTGTTTAAAGCTGATACATTTCTTAAAATGAAATGTAAAGTTAAACAGACCTGGGAATTTGAAAAGTCCTCAGAATGAAAAAAACCTTTTGTGTTTTGTTCTCAGTTGTGTTGTTTGTTTTTCTGGCTGCGCACCACTTTTCACCAATCACTGTCTCTGCATCTGTGCATGCAGCTGTCTGTACAAATATATCTCTGTTCTGCTCCGTTGTTTCAGACCTCAAAGTGAAACAATTAACTGTTGTCATCTCGGGGGTCCTCTCTCACAGTTACTGGTTAACAAGTGCAGAGACAGGACAGACTTTTTCACTTGGCCTTGGCATTTTCCCATAAGTTTAACAGATTATGTTTGGGACACAACAACCACGCAAAATTTAAGTGAGGGATCTGGACAATTTTGGGGAAAAAATAGCTTCATAAAACTCCTATCACAGTTGAGCCCTCTGTACTAGTCTTGTTATCTGTATACCTTTCTTTCTGTCTGAATGTCCTTGAGGAGGTAGTGGGTGTTGCCTGCGTGAGGAGGGGGAGTCAGGGGTATGTGGGGTGCTTGTTGGGAATCACTCGGCCGGGCAATACACGCCTCCGCAGCTCGTCTCAAGGCTCTGTATAAATTCAACGCCATTGACAATTTACGGCCCGCGCCCATCCTCGATATGATGCAGTGAGCAGGGAGCCGACCGTGTCCTGTTGCCATCGTGCCAAACTGAGGCTAATTTATTACAGTGTAAAAAATCCACAAAGCAGAGAGAAGGGGCAGATGCAGAGATATACGGGGGCCTTGGCTGGGGAATGCTGGTATAATGTGGCATAAGGCTGTGGTCATTCTGACATTGTTGTTTTATTGTGTGGTCCAAGTGGAGAAAAGCTCTCTAACTTTTTAAGAGTTCACAGTCTCTCACTGTTTTTTAAAAGGCCTGTGTCTGATTCAAACCATGAGACGCTAAGTGAGGATCATGTTTTAGTTTGAACTTTTAGCCCCGCCCACTTAGTCCTTTCTGCCACTGTGATACTGTGATATTACGCCATTGACACAGAAACAGCTGTCTGGGATAGTGTAATGCAGTTGTTTCCTCACAGTTTAACTATCTTTGCTCACTATTTGCTTTTTAGTCACTCTTGAAAATCAAATATCTTAGTGTCAGGCAATTGGTTTTCCTGTCTGATTGGACAAAAATTGTGACCCCCCCATCAGGTGCTTCTGTGTTAAGTATTACCAAGGAAAATGATATGTAAAATGAAGAACTTATTCTCTACAGTCTAATTTATTTCATTTTTAACTGCATTTCCTCTGTGATGCATGATATGAAGAGCATTTATCTTGACAAGAAGAAATCTAAATCAGATACAGGCCCTTTAATTCCAAATTTGTTTTAGTTTCTTTTCAAGGACAGTGTTTGTAGTGGGTTCAGATGTGACGGTTAGTCATAAAATGAAACTAAAAATAGCTTTGTGTTCACTTTCTAAAATGGGTTGATATACTGCTTTGGTTCACAGGTTTACTCACAGTTTAAGTGAGGATACATTCTGCCTCTGCCTCTTCTCTGCCTCTTTTCACCATGAAAGGGTCATTTCAAATATTTAGCTGCACCAACATTGTTATTGTTATGATCTATATCCCAAACTTACAACTGACACAAATCCAACTTTTCCTCAAACTGAAGTTTTCAAATCTGTGAGTACAGGGGGTTCAGTAGTCACTGAATACTTCTCAATAGCTGTTCATTGGGACACTTAAATTACTGTAGTTAATTAAGTTAATTAGAACCTCAAGTCTTCCTCCTAGTATACAACTATACTTACTACTATTACTGCAACTACTCCAGTCACTGTGGATACTACTTTTAGTACTGTGTCTGCTTCAAGCTTTGGGACTTCTGATTACCAAGGAAATGTGCCTATATTCAAGTCAAAATCTGAAGGGCAGGCTGTCATTGCAGTGTTGTACATTTCTTACAATTCCTCAAAACAGTGATTGTTTCCTTTTAATGGAGTCCAGTATTTGCACCTTTTTACACTTGCTTAAACATATCAGATCAATTTCAAATTAGATTTGAAATTAAAAACTGGGCATAAAGGCTGATTTTCCTGAGTTGCATTTCCTTTCAGATTGGGTACATTGATTCAAATCCACGGCTGACAGGGTTGTGACAGGTCTCCCTTTGTAAACGCTCCGAAGAATGATGAAGATGATCGCAATTAATTACATCACGTCAAAACTTGTGAAAGCCAGCCCAAACTTCCCTGAGCGCTGTCACAGAAACCGCTGACCAGAGCGACGACTGACCTTCACAAAACCACCAGATTTATGTTGTTTCTCACCTCCACTCCTCGTCTCCTCACTCATTTACATATTTATCAGAGCTGGTCGCAGTTTGACATCACTTTTTTTTTTTCTTTTTCCCTTGACGTGCTCGCTGGAGAATGGAGGTGTAATGTGCATGGTTGTGGCAGGTGAGAAATATGCTGAGGGAGCGTTTTGATTCGGAAGTGTGGGCATAAAATCTGCCTGGGTTGCGTTCGCTCATTCACTGTGGCTCTGTCCTGTACAATGCCAATGTCTTTGTCGTGTTCATTGTTATTGTATTCGGGCTGGTGTCCTCTGAACCTCTAAGACAGGCCTACTGAGGCTGGCCATGCTGGGGAGTTGAAGAGGTTTTTAATTTAGAGCCATCAATTTTACATTGATAGATGGAGGTTTTGAACACTATTAAACACAAAACTTTATAATAAACACACCTTATTAGCCTTATAAAGCTTAGATTAGGGCTTAGTAATTACTCATTAATATCCTAACACATGTATGAAGCAGTTGGCACTGATTAGTATGGACTATGCATTAAATTAAAGACTGAATGTTGTGTCTGTTTCCCTAAATGTTGTTGCGGTAGGTGTAAGGCAATTACTGCTGTAGCATTGTTTTCATTTCAGCTGCAATTTCTCCAAACTGTCAGCAAATACAGAGGAAATGTTTTTGTGTGAAAGAGAGTTTGATCATTTTGTGTTACTTCAGAGGGCTTCAGTTCCTCAGTCTCTGGTCCAGAGATCTCTCCACTGAGCCTGCTGATCTACAGTGACACCTACAGATCCCCAAATGCCACTGCAGTGCAGTGCTGAGAGGCTACGCGACTGTTGTGACCTTAAGTTCAATGCTGCATGGTGACCATACATTGTAACTATACGTTTCACACAGCCTGTAGTCACTGGCTTCTCCCTGCGCTCCCCGGCGGCCTTCGGCCTGTGCTACTTAATTTAGTGCTACGATGCCTGACTGGGCACAGCGGATGCAGAGGAATGCAGAGATACAGACGACACATAAACACAACAGCTACTTGGGGAGCATTTGTGGCAGCCCTGAGGAGACATGGACTGTCACAGTCTCACAGTCGTGTGGGATGAACAGTGGATCTATTGTAAGCTCGGCGAGCCTGCACCCGCTCTCAGACTAAATGTAGCATGGCCATGATGCTTGAATTCCCCGACAGTCAGGACCTTGGCAGCTGCCTCTGCTTTGGCGCACTACTTTCTGGTTCTTGGCTTTTCTGAGGAGAAGTGTGGGGCTGATTGGAGAGTTGCCTTGTACAACACTGCTATGTGCTCGCATCAGGAGTCTGTGAGGTGGCCTGGGGTCCGGGCCAAAGGAGAATTTCTAAGTGATGGAATTTCACAGCCACCAAGCGCCCAGCGGCTGGCCAGACTGCAAGCACTCACATTTACAACAAGCGGCCCGCCCCACTCCACAGAGACTCCTGAATGGCAAAGCCATTTGTCTATGTGAAGGGCAGGGAGAGAAAAGGAAATAAAATCACTAGCACAGCGCTTAAATTGAACTTTTTTGTTTATGAGCCCTCTACACATTCACACGTAAACACAGACTAAACTAAATTGGAATTAAAGAGAAGGAAAGGTGCATAGCCTGTTGCTAATTAGCATTTTCTCTGCTCAGCACAAGCAGCCAGAGGAATCAATAAGATATTAAGTTTGTATAAGAATGGGGCACACAATCACTTTAATCCATTTGCAAGTGCAGATTAGAACAGAAACTCCAACTCTCAAAACTGCAGTAGTCAGACCACTTCAGAGTGTACTTCTAATAGTCCTCATATTTATGACATTACTTGTCTCACTTGTGTTCCCTCCTCAGATATTTCAAAGTACTAGAATGTACTCTCAAACCTTTATTAAACACTTGAGCGTGGTATTCAGAACAGCTGCAAATGCTAGAGAATAAGGTCAGTCCTTTAAATGAGGTAAAGAGACATTCAATTTTTTTGAATAAAGGTTATAAGGAAACAGATAGTAAGGGAATTGTACAGAAAAAGTAAAAATGGAGAAAATAAATTTTTTTAATACTTTGTGTTGTGAAGTGATGCTCAGATCACGTTTTGGATGGGTCACACCTGCAGCTGCACGTGCTGACCCCACAGATGTATTATTGACCACCATGTTGAATATTCTCATCTGGATTGTGGTTTGATGTTTGATTCATGTGTGGAGGATTGGCAGCTCACCCTTAGTATGTTTCTCTCTCTTAAACACTATTTTAATTGTGTATTCATGGCCTTTTTGTCTACAGACCACCTGAACCAGGAAAGAGAGAAGAAACTCGTTTTCCTGACGGCAAGGGTGCACCCTGGAGAGTCTCCTGCCTCTTTCGTCTGTCAAGGTAAAGTTTTAATGTGGGGTCATAGGTCAGACTGAATCATGGGGTGACAGGTGGAACCAGACTATACATTATAACTAACATTATGTCTTGTTTAGTAATGGTACCATATATGTGTGTTGTCATATATATCATTTGTCACAAGGCAAAAGTATAAATTAATAGTGAACTGAAAAATCTCTCCTGGCATCTTATCTGATATATTATAATATAAATAAAATATATAATATAATAATAATAATAATAATATAATAATAATAATAATAATAATAATAATAATAATTATTATTATTATTATTATTATTATTATTATTATTATTAAGGTTTAAAGGAACTGGGTGCACAGGTCAGATGTCATAGTGCACGGCTCCAAACCCTCACTCACTTATGTGCTTCTGCAGTATCACAGTACACATGCCCTACCTGCACCCTCGAGTGTGGTGCATCATTATGAATCAGATGAGCTGGCTGCTCGCCCGCTGGGTGCTGTCTGTTTTTCCATCGCTGTCAGCTCCATTCCATTTGTATCGATTTGGGTGCTCCGTCTCCAGTTCCTCCTGATTCTGACGATGCCCCCTCGCTGTCCTTCCCACTCCTTTTGTTTCACAAAACTCAATTAACTGCCAGCCCGTCCTGGCTTTTCACTTCAACTCTATTCTTTTCTGTGTTTGTGTGTCTTCAATAGGTGTGATTGACTTCCTGGTGAGCCAGCACCCAGTGGCTCAGATCCTTCGGGATCATGTGATCTTCAAAATCGTCCCCATGCTAAATCCGGACGGAGTTTACCTTGGCAACTACAGGTATACAAATACATTCACACCAGCAGCCAATCTGTTTATTTGAATACATGCTAAATTAAATTGAATTCCCAATTTGTATGTCTTTATTTGTTTCTGCCTGGGATTATATCCTCCTGCCTCCACCTTTAGGGAGCTTAATGAATTCATATAGCTCACAGCAGTGCATTTGTTCTAAGATAGTGTTTGGCCGAAGGGCTGTTCTCTCTGCCAGTCTCTCCTCTCTGTCTTTAACAGCGCCGCTGCAGCTCCGTGGGCATCCTCCTCTCCTCCATTTTCTTCTTTTCTCCGTCCCTTCTTCATAATTGCCTTTTACTTAATAGGCTCAGCCTCAGGAATACTAATGCACACTCAGATAAGATCAGCGCTCAGCTCCAACAGTGTTTACCGCTGCCATCTGCTGGTGCCTCAGTGCCCAACATTTAAATAAAGAGTCATCTTTTTTTTCCTAATATACCTTAAAAAAGTTAAATTTGCATAAGTATATTGCATTGACTTGAGTTGTAGTGTGAGTCTTCTCAGACATATAGAGTAACACCTGTGTCTTGTTGCTGGGCAGACTGTATAAACCTTGTTTATACAAAGCTAAAGTCACTTAACCTGGATTTGTTTCTGATTCCTGTGGTCTGAGGAAGCAGCCGTATCACTAACGCCTGTATCATTAGAGAGGCCATAGATAAATGTCAATGACTCCCAACACAACCATTGAGAGGGACTGTTCTGTTTACACACCATCATTCCATTAATGAAATTGTATCTTGAAGGTGATATTAACTCAGCAGCAGGTGTCTTTGCACACACTGGACAAATATTTTACACAGGATAACCCCATGGTTTACAAATATAGCATTGGGTTCTTTATAAGTCTTTTTATTACTTTTTACTTTAAAGATGGTCAGTATATATTCAGTGTTCCTCTCTCTGTAGATTTGTATTGGCATCAAAAGTTTATGTCAGCTATGATCAAAATAAAACTGCCTTTAAAATGTCAGTACACTGCTTTAGGAAGGAAAAACGAAAAATTAGCATAACACTTTCCCGCCTGGTCATGTCATATAACAATTTCAAATTCACCTAACGTTGTTAACCTCCTCTTTTGGACTACACTATAGCCTTTATTCCAGAGCTGTCACCACCAGATCAATACATTGATGTTGCAGAAAGTAGTGCAGCAAAAACAAAACAAAAACACAAGACTTTGAGTTTTGAAGATACTGTTCAATAACCATTCATAACAATTGTTTATATTGGAGAACTTTAAAAAGTTCTTGATGTTTGGTGCTTCGTACATGTTTTTGTTGCAGGTGTGTTTTATGAAGAGGCTTTCTTCAACATTCTTTGTTTGTTTCTTGGCACTGTTTGTTCACAGGTGTTCACTGATGGGCTTTGACCTAAATCGTCACTGGCAGGACCCCTCTCCATGGGCCCACCCAACACTACACGCTGTCAAACAACTCATAGTCCAGATGAACCAAGACCCGGTAAGCCTGACCACACTCATTCATATGTCCATACATTTACAACACTGTGAGCTTGCAGAACCTACCTTTTTCTCACGCTGTTAATTTGATCGGATTCTGCGTGTTTTGGCTGTGAGCACCGGGGAGCACTGGAGATTCCCGTCAGCATCTCTAAAATGTCAAGCACAGCTCTCCTGGCCATTCAAAAACATATGACTGAAGCAAGTCTGTGTGCTGTCTGTTTAAAACTTGATAGTGACTTTTTTCAGATTTCAATCCCTAGAAAGGCTACAGAAACTGTTTTTTTTCTGGTCTTTGTTCCTGATGTTAATTATAAGCAAAGCGTCAGGTTGGTGGGATTACTGAAGGTCAGAGAGTGTCCTGGGAATACTCTGCCCTTTTGTACGCTGCTCTAATCCTGATAAGAGAGGGAGCAGCCGGGGGCTGGTCGGGGCGGGATGGGGCAGGCCAGAGACGGGCAGGGCGCTGGGCGGGCATCGGGCAGATTAACCTTTTCCCCCAGTGCTGACACACTGATCGATAGGCTCCGTCATGGCTCCATCCACTCATGCCTGTCATTCACACACACTCACACCTCTCATGTTGTGGGTAAACACACATTAACTCACATAAACACACATTAACACACATTAGCACACATAAACACAAACACACATTAACACAACAGCACTTGATCACACAACAACAGTGCCCCCGCAATGCACTAAAGATGCTACTTATCCAATAAAGAATGTGTCTTAACCTTCTGCTTAAGCTTTGTAATGAATACCAATACAGGAAACGAATGGCACACTCTCTCTGACCTTTTTCATCAAAGGCAGTGAAGACTTTGGATTTTGTTTGCTTAAACTAATGAAATATACTCAAAGAATTTAATAATTTAATTATTATTATCAGTATTGTTTTTGTGTCAAAACCCAAAACTACTAAGCAGATAACAAGATATAAAAGAAACAGACTAGCTATTTTAATATTTGTTTGTTTTTAACTGCATTTAATAAAGTCTTAAAAAATATTTGTTTTGTATAGATTTTACCCAGTATATATAAAATATGGTTCTCTGTGAAACGCATTTAGAATCTTTTATAGTTGTTATTGTACAAATAACATTTATTTTTACCTTTCAGGGGTGCTGCAGTGTAGAATTGGTGTGTATTTTAGGACTTGCTTTGATTTTTACACCACATGTTTTTCCTGATTCAGTAATGTGTCACAAGGGTGGCACAATGGAGCCCCTGTGCGTAATAGAAGTTTTGTCTCTCCGGGACTTGTATTGGACACTACATGCAAGGTTACACAGCTCCTCACCCATTCGGGCTCACAGAGGGCAGTATATTGTAGGAAAAGTAGTTACACTGACTTCTCAGGTCTGACCCATCACAGTGTGTTGTACCAAATGTTTGCCTGGTTCATTGGCTCCACTCAGACAGCTCCTGTGTCGACTTCTGTCCCACCATGGTGTCCCCTGGTACCCACCTTTCCTCGCCCATCGCCTCGAGTGTGGCAGAGTTAATTTGGAGGCCTGGCCAACCTCTCCTTCTCTGTGTCTCCTCTCTACACAGGCCGTTAATCCCATCAGACACACTACTCATGTCTGGGGCTCCCTGATGCCACTTCCAATGCCAGCTCTGGAGCAGGAGGGCCCTGCACTGCCCTCCCCGCAGCCCCCTCACACAGCGGGCGCACAGTGTAATGAGCACACGGGGTTGGAGGGCTCTGCTGGACCACTCCATTAGCCAGAGATCAGGCACACTTCAGCCCAACAGTCAGGCTGGGCTGCTGCGTGTGGCCATTTACTAGCTGTTAACTCAATGCTTATTTGTTTAAAAGCCATCATTGGTTAAGAAACTAGCACAGAAGGTCATTTGAATGTTGTTTTTTTCTTTTTTATGCTTTATGCCACAGCTTAAAGTTTGCTGGGTGAGAAATTAAGTCGGGAATCAATTTGCTTAGAAAACAGTCTTGATAAGGTTTCAAGCAGTGGCATGTTCATAAAGCTAATTAATATATTTTTAATAGCGGCGCTGTTTTGACATTTTAATGTTGTTGTTGCCTGCTGTTAACTTTGTACAAGTGCATTAGAAGCTCAAGTCCTGTAACTAACAGGGCTGATACAGTGAATGTTAATGGTGTCTGTAGGCTACAATAAATTATAATGGCTTGTTCCTGATAAGCACAGTCAATTTTGTACAGCCCGCATTTCTCTGTTTACAACATAATACAATCATGCTTTGCATAAACACAAATGTGATCATCAACATTTGTCAGATGCAGCTTTTCTTCCAAGAGGAGCGCCTTTCACATTACAATGTTATGCAGTTAGCAGCGTTCTTGAACTTTTTTAATTTAGCAGGCGATTGTGTATGTCATAAAAAGCAATACTGTGAAGATGCAGTACAATTTATGTTGGATTGGGTCAAGATGATTATTTGAGGTTTGATCTCCACTAAGAGTGAATGAAAAAATGAACAAATGTGCTTGGCGTTGTGACCCCTTGATAAGCCTGATCTGTAACTGTAGTGATACTTTGCAGCTGATGCTAACTCTATATACTGCACTGACTAAAGTTCTGTTACTCAAATTAAACTAATATGAGGTTTGTTTTAACACAACTATGAAGAACTGATTTAGATGGAACTACATCAGGAAAGCTGATTTGTGCTGTTAAACAAGTCCCTGTCAAATAACATATAGCTGTTCTTCAGTTAGTCACTCTCACCTTTTTGTCGAAAATAAACACCTAAATAGGACCATGCATGCTTGTATTGATCACAGGCTCCTGAATGTGAATGTGTGAATCACTTTTAGATTGTTTTCACTATTAAAATCTTATTTGTCTGTGCTTTCCAATGTGTGCTTTGTGTCACTATGTTAACTTCAGAAACATTCCGCCATAGACATACATGCAGAACACCCCCAGCATGCTGTCACTACAAAGTATCAATTGTAATTCATGACTTGATTCTTTAGTTTTGCACTTTAGAGTACTGATTGACCACGTGTTCATAGTTAAACAGTCATCTTTAATCCATTTGTAAATGTTATAAACTTTCCTGTTTCTAACACCAAATTTGAAAAGTTAAAACTGGGGCTAAAGTCATTGCTAATCCGCAGGTCTGTTCCCAGCTTTAGTAGCCTAAATCCAGCACAAACGGTAAAAGCTAATTGAATGAACAGCACAGTGCACAGTTGCCCTGTGCCTCAGAGCCTATAACTCTGACTGTGGTTTTGTCCATCACCATGACTTCTTTACTTCTCTGTATCTGCACAGATCTCATAATTTAAAGTCACGTCGTCCACACTTTTCCCCACAAAAGAGGCCATTTAGTTTAAAACACAGAGATCGGATGTTCTTGTCACTTCAATCGGTTCAGCTGGGGACTTTTAGCTTTCTGTTTTGTGCAAGAAACATCTTCACTATCAGACTGCAAGAGAAAACATTTCTGTCTAAACCTCAAGCATCTATGTGTACTGCAGCCATATACTTATGGACATGGATTCTTCTTTTCACTAAATGAAACATTTCTCTGCATCCATTATATGAATGAAGACAACAATTGACGTATCTAATTAATCTAAATATGGACACTTTTTCGTGGTCTTTTTTCTGTAGGAGTAGGAGTAAACTATCATATATGTAGATCGTTTCCATCATTTAAAGTTTCATTTGCCGTGTTTTATATTTTGTTTGAAAACAGCTATGTGACATTTTTTACATGAGTGAAACTCGGCACACTCGAGTCTCTGAGAAAAGCTTATAATGGGGCAAAAGTCACTTTAAAAACTATAGAGCAGTTCTTTTGTCATTATAATGGTTAAAGCTCTTAAATGTCAGTTTAGCATTTAGCAATATCTCTCCTTGAGACATGCAGATGCAAAAATTGAACTAATTTTGTAATATTTGGCAACATTTGAGTATTTAAAGATTTAAGCAAAAAAAAAGGAAAAAAAAAAAATATCTTCTGTAGTTGGCACGTACAAAAAGCAGCATTAAACTATTTATTGAAACCTCATAACTGTTTACTATTCAGGGGTTGATGTGGACTTAAGCCCCACCTGGTCCACCCCTCTTCAACATAAAACTCAAGCTTGTTGCATAATAGTGTAATACAGGTTTAAAGGCCTTATCTCCTACTTTTGTCCCCTGTAATAAATCCAATATGGCCAACCATTGTGTGCATAACGACCGGTGGTATTTCCCTCCAAAGCTGGCTGTAAACGTGTCCGTTCCGGCGGATCTGAAGGCATGCTTCTGCTCAAGCTGTTTCATGCAATTCCATCATTTACCATCTGCAGCTGAACATTGGTCAGTAGGGAGAATGGCTGAAAGAGTCAGTGATGCAAGGAGCTATAATCTGTTCCCAAGCCGCCACCCTGTTGTTTGTTTTGAAACGAGAGAAATGGAGAGGCAAAAAGGGACCACGGAAACAAATGGACCCATCTCCTTCCTAAAGCGTGCCTTTTCCAGCTCATTTATCAAACGCACAGGAAGAATTATTTTTGATTGGCTTATTACTCGAAACATTCATCACCGGTCCGACGTACCCCCACCAATCTGACACTGCCATTTTGGATAATTTGTTAAGGATGACAAAGGGGTCATTGTTGCCTTAGCTTCTATTTGACCTTTTTAAAATTAGGGAATTAATTTTCAATGTGGAACAAACGTATTAGGCCCTGTCACACCCCGAGTGATATTTGCACCTTGGAGTCCTCCCTATTGCCCTACTTCTTTTTGCGATCCATCTTCCTCCCTCTTCTGGTTGTTTACTCCATAGTAGTTGTATGGTGCTTCTCCTTCACTTGTGTTATTTTTGCTGTTTGTCTGTCTCTCTCCTTAGCCTCCCCATCTTACTCCCTGCTCTCTCAGTGTGTGTTCAAATGTCCTCCGGTGTCATCCAGCCATTTCTGAACCATTTTCAAGATTTACGGCCAATTTTGTGCCCATCAAGTCTGCATCATTTCAATCCTGCCATCATCTTGTGCTTTATTCTGCCTCT